GATTTTAGTAGTTTTTTTTCCATATTTTAGTGGATTCATTGAACTTGGACGGTTTTTAATCTCAGACCAGACCAGATTTAAATAAACCAAATCAGATCAGATCAGAACAGGCTTTTAAACCTATAAAAACACAGAAATCTAATATCCATCAGATCCGGCCAGACCAGACCTAACTTAAACAGAGCAGATCAGACCGAACCAACCCATTTGAGTCCAAGTAAAATCATCCTTGGTTCGTATAAGACATTTGGAGACTTCTTATTTTTTTTTTTTTGGATGAAATTTTTGGAGACTTCTTATGTTCTTATTTCACGTAACCTTTCGGCTTGAAAAACAATTCTAATATTACAATTGGATAAAAATGTAAATTGCAATATTAGAGTAAAATGCATAAAAGTACCTCAATTATTGGTAATGTTGCATTTTGGTACCTCAACTCTTTAATGAAGCAGATGAGTACCTCAACTACGTTTAAATGTTGCAACCGGCGGTACCATTCAATATTCCGGCCAAAAAAATGCCACATGTCCGCCGGAAATCCACGTGTATATCCTAGTCATCGTTTTTGTCCACGTCATTATTATCCACGTCATTTGTGTATTATCCATGTCATTAGTGATAATTAATTAGTGCTACTTAGTGCACATACCAACACCATCCGGCCAACATGCTTGTTGTGTACGTCATAGACAGAAATAATATAAATATCACGCTATGGCCGTGAATAGTTTTAGACTAATTAACTTTATTTATTTTTTTGACAATCTCTAAATACACAGTATACCAAAGTATCTTTACATCATTCCTTTGTCTGCGTTTCATCATTAAGTAGCCTAGCTCACGTAGTCACGTACATCATTAAGTAGCCTCGCTCACGTTTCAATGCTGTAATTTTCAAAGTTTTGCTTATTTTGGATTTTTTTAAGACTCTTTTTTAGTGTTATCAAGAGTGCATGTCTTTATTAATGTATTATAATTATAATTTGTTTTTATGTAATATACCAAAATTAATTCTATTTCCGTCTGGAAAAAGTTCACCATATTCACATTTTTGTCAATGATCACAAAGTTTGGGCAATGTATTTAATTTATACATTTATAAACAATTAATAAAAAAATTAATTTATAACTTATAAATTTTATACTTCTATTTAAAAAAAATTAATAAAGAAAATTTTGATGTATTTTCATATTAAATAAATTCACATTAAAAAACTATCATTGGTCAAAATTCATTATCATCGACTAAGAAGTCATTTTGGCAAACCTTTTCTGGACGAATGTAGTAATTTTTTATAATCTTCATGTGACACAAATATATCGTGTAATTCATTACCATCGACTAAAATGTCTTTTTGGCAAATCTTTCAAAAAAATGTCTGAAATTTCAATATTTGTAATTTTAGACTAAAAAACGTGAAATATAATTTTTAAAATATATTGTAGTATGCAGATATAGTGAACATATTTAAGATGATGTGAAAAATATATAATATACCATGTATTTATGATGTAAAGATACTTTGGTATACTCCTTATAACATACTCCATATTTAGAGATTGTCAAAAAAAAAGTTAATTAGTCAAAAACTATTCACGATCGTATAACGATACTTGTATGATTTCTGTCTGCTGAATAGACAACAAGCAGGGTTGCCGGATGGTGTTGGTATGTGCACCAAGTATAGTAGCAGCGCACATGATAGATGCGGGTTTGATTCTTAGGCGAGGCTTTTGCCGAAACTTAAATTTTTGGTGGCTTAATTATCACTAATGACCTGGATAATAATGATGTGGACAAAAACGATGACTAGGATATACACATGGATTTCCGGCGGACAAGTGACATTTTTTTTTGCCAGAATATTGAATGGTACCGCCGGTTGCAACATTTAAACGTAGTTGAGGTACTGTTTATGATTTTACTCTGCAATATTAATTTCAAGAATATTTTACACATTTCATTACTAATATTTTACCGTTTCAAGAACTGATTGTTCAGACTATTACAATTAGTACTAAAACTAACAATTAAAAAAAAGATACTCTTACTTTTGCCATCATGAGATGAAGAAAATTATTAAGAATGTCATGAATACAAACATCTACATATAAAAGGAATGAAGTAAAATAACTTAACAATGTTCTTACATACTTAACAATGACCATATAACCTCTTATAGTATTTCTCACGAGTTTTGTACTTATTTCAACTCATGCCGATTCCAAGCTTTTGGTTAAGATCGAAGTTGTAATATGTGTCTCTCAATTGTTATTTAGTTTATTTTCCGTGAGTGGTCATGCCATTGGTTGACAACATCAACCATCAACCTAAACAATTAAAACAAGATCATCATTTAAATGATAAAAATAGGACCATTTGATATAGGAAGAGAGCACTATGGATGTGATGAAACAACTCTTGAAGTGTGAGAGATAGCTATACGAGTTAGAGATGCATCACAAAGGGAAAGATGATTGGGCAGGTAAGACTGTAAGAGGAATATAGTTGTAGTAAACAAAAAAATGTACTCCCTCCGTCTCGTCATGAATCATGATTGTCCCATTTTACCATTTTGGTCCGTTCCACTAAGATTGTCTCATACCTTATTTGGTAAGATTGTTTCATAAATCATTCCTACTTTATTCTTACTTTATCAATTCAATATCAACCATATAAACCACTTTTATTAATAACCGTGTCATTTTCTCTTGTTCCAAACTTAGGGGGACGGAGGTAGTATTACAGTAGCTAGGCTGCCATATTTTATATTACGTATGAAGCAAAATCATTAACTGTAAGCAAAATACTGATATAATTATGAAATAATTATTTTTCTTCTAAAATGAACACATTTTACCTTCGGTTACATAAAAAAATTTAAATTTCCAATCATGAAAATAAATTGTCAAAGTTATTACCATTATATTTGGAGATAATTACTTATATTGTTGACATAGATTATTGTTGTAAGACCCAAACCGGACCAACCGGTTCGCGCCGAAACCTGTTCAACTGACCATCTGACTGGTTGGACATCAACCCGCAAATATGGTCAAAACTGGACTTAACCATTGACCCACTTGAACCCGGGACGTACGGACCCGAACTTGCTTCAAATGTGGAGCTGCTAACCAACTTGCTACAATAGGGACTTCATAATTACGCTTGTTTAGCTTTTCTTATACCTATCGATCAGCCTGGGATAATTTATTGTCTTAATTCATTACTTTATTAAATAATTAATTTATAATTGAAATATTAATAAATACACAGCAATACTATTATTATACTTCTTAATTATTTATATAATCTTACAATTTTTTTTAAAAATTTACAATTGGTATTATGTGTGTATTTATTATCCATCTAAATCCCAATGTTTTTCTAAATCTGGTAAAATCAATATACTTAAGTACTACGTACAATGTTTTTACATTGAATATATTGCATTATCATTATCATATCATTTTGAAGGAGTATAATTTTTCTATTTAGGAGTTTAAGCTTCTATATAATTAATTAATTATATGTATTGTTGTTGACCGGGTTTTCCTGGCGTTGACCGGGTCGCTCAATGCGATTGACCCGCGACCCAGTCACTCGGCCGGGTCGCTCACCTGTCCGGTTTTTACAACATAGGTTTTTACTTGTACTGAAATTTTCTGGTCTGGTCTGGTCTGAACTGGTATGGTATGACTGCTAAATGTTTGGTCTCTTTGTATTTAGTTTATACCTATCCAAGTTTGATCTGGTCTTGTCTTGTTTGGGACTGAAAATAGTCCAAGTAAAAACATCCTAATACTTTTACATCTAAAACTATTCGGCGAGTTGTACTTCATTAGTTTTTTTAATACATTTAGTATCATTTTTTATAATGTACTACGTAACACTTTTATTTAAGTATTGCATTTTTTATATTTAATCATTTTAAAAGCTATATAACAAACAAAACTATATATAAGAGTCTTTTATGAAACTCGATCAGGTCCGAGTTTACGTAGGCCTGAGTTTATGTACGATCGGCACTGCCCTCAATGTAAGACTCTATGGAGTCCTGAGTCCATGTCCAATCTGTCCATAGACTCATACTACGTATTTAATGTCTTGACTTCATTCATGTCTCCAAGTACAAATGGTCTTAGCACCAAAACTTTTCATTATATGTTGATTTTTATTTTATTTGCATTATATTTTACATCTTTAAATTTATCATTTTTTGCATTATATTGAAATTTATTGTGCTAAGATAGGACTCATGTTATTATGTAAGCTAATCATATTTTGCATATATGGTGTTTGATGAAATGTTTAGGTGATATGTCAGAAAAGAATTTTAGTTGTAGGAAGTGTAATGTTTCTTCTTAAATTCTATGTTCATATACATGTTGCTTGATTAAACGTATAGATGATCTTTCCAGGAAAAAACGGCAATATGAATTTATTATAGTTAGAAGTCTAATGTTTATCTTATGATATTATGTGCTCTTTTTAAGTTGCTTGTTCAATGTTCAACCTAATTTCATTTTCTTGGATCACAAGTGTTCAATATTATGAAATTAGAAGGTCTTTCTAAGTCTAATGTTTAACCTAATTTCATTTCTCTTGATCCAAAAGCACTAAATAGGTCATTACAAAACGGGTTTCTTTTCTTAGAGCTATTCAAAGTTGATTTGTTTCAAGCTATTCAATAGCTTGCTATATAAATATCACTCATAAAATCTTAAAGTAAAAACTATAATATCTATTTTTTTTTGAGAGAGTAACTATAATATCTATTTTATTCTGTTGGATTTTAAATTTTATAAGTCATCAAGTTTAATGTCTATCGTTGAAATGGAATTTATAGGAAGTAGGAGTGGCAATAATCCAAGATCCATGTATACTGATATATATTATCCAAAAGTATTATCAGTTTTGTACGAGAAGTCTTGGACTGAATACTATTAAGCAGGATGTCTTCTAGACTACTATCGAAGAACATACACTACAAAGATCAAAGGTAAACTTGAGCTGTAAGCCTGTAACAACATCATAATAGTCATTTAACATATCCAACAATTGTGAGAAGATAATTTCGTATTACAGAATGCTTTCAGAACAATTTGCAGCACTGCTTTCAACCAAACAAAATGTATATACACACAATCAAATATCTATTTTCTGCACAGACAACCTCAAAGTCTTCTTAAATCTTGTCATTCAAGTGTTTCGTTTCAGCCTTTACCATTTGGGAGAAAACTCTACCCATAGAAACGCCTTCAAGATCACCCATACTTCCAACGCTGACCTGAGTTGTAGAAGTGCTGATTTCCGGATCCGGGATGCCACCTCGAACTCTTCTGTCTTCTTTTCCATTGAGCTGAAGGACACACTCCAAGTTCCATAGGACCTCCCCCATTGTGGGCCGATGAATCCCACACTCCGCCAAGCATTTTTCAACTATCTCCACAAACTTCAGTAAAGACTCCGGTTTTACTCTTTCCTTAAGGTGAGGATCAAGAACCATTTCCAACTCCCCTCTCCTTATCACACGCATAGCCCATTCAATCAAGTTTGCAGATTCTCTGGGGCGGGAAGGGTCGATAACTGGCCTCCCTGAGAGGATCTCAAGCATTACGACCCCGAAAGAGTAAACATCTGACTTCTCGGTCAGTTGTTGTCTTGTCAAGTACTCCGGGTCGAGATAACCGAAACTTCCTTTTACTGCAGTGCTGACATGTGTCTGATCCATCTCGGGCCCATCTTTTGACAGCCCAAAATCTGCAACCTTAGCCATGAGGTTCTCGTCAAGTAATATGTTTGCTGACTTTACGTCCCGATGGATGATCGCCTTCTCTGAACTGGTGTGTAGATAATGAAGCCCTCTTGCAGATCCAATGCAGATTTCGACCCTCTGCCTCCAATTCAGCTTTGGAAGATCTGAACCGTATAAATGGTTCTTTAGACTTCCATTATCCATGTACTCATATACTATGATCATTTCGTTCATCTCGTCACAATATCCTATCAATGACACTAGATGGCGGTGTCTAAATTTAGACAACATTTCTATCTCTGTAATGAACTCAGCGAGTCCTTGGCTTGATTGATGGTTGCCTCGCTTTACAGCCACTACCGTACCATCTTTCAAAACTCCCCTGTAAACCTTCCCAAAACCGCCAATGCCTATTATCATCTCTTCACAGAAATTGTCTGTGGCTTCTTGAATGGCCTTAAAAGGGATTAGATACCCTGCCTTTGACCTCGAAATGGAACCCTGTTCTTCAGAATATTTACTCAAACCAATACGTTTTCTTCTTCTGTTTCGGTAGACCAGAATGGACACCAAAGCAAAAACAACCAAGCAGGATGCTCCGAAGCCTGATCCCAAAATCACCCATTTTTTAGACTTGGAAGTGGTTTTGGAGAGTTGAGTTTCAGTGTCATCTTCATCAAGACTGTTCTTAGAGTTGCTTATTTTCATGATCTCCAGCCCGTTCAGGATGCCATCGGGAAGCACATTGCGCACATCTGATGGGCCAATTGTTATGCTAAGCTCACGACCTGTGGCCAACCTTTTCACAACATCCATGTGATAAGGAGAAGCAAAGGCATTTGAGGTTTTAGTTTTAAGGTCAAGGTTTTCGGCGACGACATGGGAATTGAGGAAAACGTTGAACACAAGTTCGTTAGAAGAATCACTAACCATATCACAAAAGTGGAACCGAACTAGATACTCAAAGGCGGGATGAACTTCAAACTGCCATGTAGCATTAAACCGGATATTAAAGTCCACCTGTTTCAATCTAGTAGCAGATTCATACACAAGGGGAGGAGCTATGTTCTCTGTCGCCCCTCTTGTATAATTCAGGACACCTTCCTTCAATTCAAACTCGACAAAATTACTACTTTTAAGATATCTATCATCAGAAAACCATAACCTCCCCAATGTATCATTTTGAGGGGGAATTGTTACATTCCCCATGTTTACCCTCACCACAGTCTCCAGGGCATGTGCCCTAAGGTCTTGCTCACTTCCTTCTGGAGTGCCCATTCCAGCACCAGCAGGTATAACCTCATCAGGAATTGAAACCACTTCCAGAGCATTAAGGAAAGCAAAAGAATTGGCAGCAGGGGTAAAAACAAGAACCAGCTGACTACTACTTATATTCAAAGAGTATTCTTTAAGTGTGGAGGTATTTGATGGCTGAAAATTTTTCAAGAGAGTAAAGTTCTGGGCTGAAACAGAAAATCTAGCAGTGGTTAGGTTATGATTTTCTTGAACGAAAGGAAAGAAATGCAGACGAAGCCAGTGTCTGCCAAGCTTCATGATTGGAAAAACGAACTCTGAGGTTCCATTGAGAATTCTGGCAGTCTGATAAAGGGGTGAAGTATAGTTGAAGGGAAATGGGACAAGAAGGTCAGAAGCTGATTTTGCAAAAATCTTGTGTGGGGTTGAAAGGGTTGTGGAATTCAAGTTGTCAGCCAAGAAAAACCGGCGACCCAGAGTTGTGTTTTCAGATGATCCACAGTTTATCAGATAGTTATCAACTGGGTCATATTCTGAGGAAACAAAGATCAAACAACATATGGACGAAATCATGAACACCAAATTGAACATTTTTAGCTCAACAGAAATAATCAGCTGTAGAACAGGAAAAGTAATCAAAGAATTCAAGGAGAGTATAACAGCAATCAACAAATAAAAGGATTCCACCCTAAGTTCTGCAGAGCTTTACCAAGAACAGCAAGAAAATAGTTCAACTTTGAGCTATGGCATTAAAGAAGAAAAGGAGATCGAATGAAGGGTCAAAATGTATGAGCATTGTTAGGAAAAGAAAATCTAGATATCTTAAATTGATTGGCTGAGAGGTTGAAATTTGAAAAGAGTTTTAAAAGGACTAATTTATAATCCCTATGCCATTTTTGGCATTCCTCACAGCTGTCTCTCGCCTACATTGTCAAAAAAGGATGACAGCTGAGAATTATCTCTCGCCTACATTATAAAATTTCTATAACTAAATACAGAGAACCGTGAGTTAGTATTCAAATCGGCTGTATGGATTGGTTCTGCTAAAATTTATGAAGTTCTGACTGTATTGACTGATTCTGTTGATTTGTAAAAAACAAATTAAAATATCTTTTGTAAATTATTCCATCATTTGCGATGGAGTCAAAAGTTCACTATTTTTTATTTGAAAATATGATGGAATAGAGCAAAATGACTCACTAAACTATCTACACTTCTTCGTTATGAAACTGCAGTGAGTCCATGCAATTTTGGACATGATTTTCACTATGTTTCATCCGAAAAAAGTCTCTATCTCTTATGGGTCATCCGGAAGCTGCAGTCAGTTCATGCTTTAGTATAGGGGTAAGACTGCGTACATCTGACCCCTCTTACTCCACCGTAGGTGGAAGCCTTCACGGCACTGGGGTAATGATGATGATGATGATGATAAAGAAAAAATTATATGAAGAATAATTAAAATGATCTTCTATAGTAATTTCAACTAATACAGTCAGAAAAGTAACTCTGAACTTACGTTTTCCTATTATTACACAATTCAGTGGTGTATTCATAAATTACGGGTTTGATGTAAAAGTTAGCTGATAAGCCTAAAAAAAATGGATACCAAAAGCCTGTAAAACTATTAATGAATGGAGTACATAAATATCACTAAAATAGAGATGGTTTACAAAAATGTGATTAGTGATTACAGCACTAATGAAATTATAGTAATTTATGTTCAATTTTTAAACTTAAGTTTCAATGGTGTTTAAATGTGAAAATCACAAAAAGGTTGACGATAAAAGATTTATTCATAAATTGATTATTTAAAAGAGATGAAGCAAAAAAAAAAAAATAGACGCCGCAAAAAATATTAAAACAGGGGCCCGAGCCGGGTGTACCGTGTACTTATCAAGAATGTTATTTTAGTTGAAGAAGTACGTATAAGAATTGGAAAGAGTAGTTACTCATCACACGGTTGGAGACGCCGTCAGATAAAACCAAAAGGCTAAACAAGCCTAACGCGTTTTCTAGGACCAGCCAATGGTCGTCTCCGTAGCATGTGGGCCCTTGTACGGCCTGGACTGGAAAAATATTAACTAACCTTTTCGTTGGGCCCCATTTGGTGACACTTGTTTTTTTACTTTACACATTTTTGTATCAAAAGCAATTGAAGTTTCTTTCATGATAAAATTGATTACTCCCTCTCTCCCATTTATATTGTCCCGTTTTATTTTTTCGGGAAGTCTTACTTAAATTGTTAATACCATATTTCACAAAGTTTGTATGACTCTAAATCATTATTACTTTATTCTTACTTTATCAATTAATATCAACCACACAAACCCACTTTTCTTAATAACCGTGTCACCCTCTTCCGGGACAATATAAATGAGACGGGGTAGTATTTTTTTTACTTTACAGATTTTTGTATTAAACGTGATTGATGTTACTTTTGTGATGGAATTGATTAAATTTGCTGCAAATGATTATCGGAAGTGTTTTATAATATTCTTTTGTTTTATCATCTAAACATATTTTACATATAGAGTACTCTTCCGGTCAGGAATTCCTGACCGGAACCGCCGGAAGGACGGCGGCGTTTGGACATCTTCCGGGTGAAATTTTTTGATGAAATTTTTATCCCATGTTCTCCATCAAGTCTAGTTTATCCACAAAAGATTGCAGCCAAAAACTCATTCGGGAAGATCGTCAAATGATTTTTGCAAGTTAACTGGTGCGGAATATGTATTTTCCGGACCAGTTAAGTTGCAAAAATCATTTGACGACCTTCCTGATTGAGTTTTTGGCTGAATTTTTGTGTGGATAAACTAGACTTGATGGAGAACATGCCATACAAATTTCATCAAAAAATGACACCGGAAAGGCGGCCAAAAGCCGCCGTCTGGACGGCGGTTCCTGTCCGGAATTCCGGACATGAACATTTGTGTTTACATATAATTCATTATTATTCAACAATTTCAGTGAGATATTCACTCATTTTAGTAAACTAAACCGATTTAATCAACTTCTTTGTCAAAGATGCAATTTTCGATTTTATATGCTGATTTTTGTAATAGCCAATATAAATAATGTTTTTTTTGGGTAAACCAATATAAATAATGTTGAAATTACTTTTATGACTAGATTAGATAAATTTGTTTATAATGACTACTTTAGATATTTTTTATATAACTTCTTCTTTGTATTAATATTAAAGTATATTTTACATGTAATTTATTTATAATTCAGCAAATTTAGCTAAATCATGCATTATTTAACCAATGTCGGCCAATTCAGGATGATTTTAACCAATGTTAACAAACTAAGCCAATTTTGTGTTACCAAACGAGATCATAATCTTCCAATTTTATTTCTTATTTCTTACACCAAAGATGATCTAAACAGGAGTAGAAATAATATAAAATTAAAAAAAATTATTATGTTTTTCGTTTAAATAAGAGATATGTTTCATATATCTTATTATATCAGGTGTAAATTATAGCATATGTACTATGTTATTAATGTTGGTAATGCCAAAATACAGCCATAAGTTTTCTAAGATCACATTACTTTCATATTTAGATAAAAATATACTCATTTCATCTCATTTTACCTGTTTGGACGTCTTATTTTTCTTTTTGGGTTGTCCTAAACTAAGTGTTATATTTTTTGACAAGAAACATGTGATACACATGATCTCACTTTATTATATTCAAATCTCAACCACATTTTTTACTTTTACAATAACTTTATTAATAATTATACTAAACTAAAAGAAAGACATATAAAATGAGAAAGTACATTTTCTCTTGTTTTGAAATTTCACACTTTTACTCCTAGAACCACCCTTTCAGTATGGCATAAATATAAATTAGAATTAGCATCGTGCTTGATAGAAAAGCTTCACAAGAGTCATATATACGCACTATTATTTTCTTTTTTAGGAGACTGCTTCTTTTTTTAAGCAGAATTAGAGTCAGTTTTCAGAAGTTAGCTTCCCCAACTTCTAAAAAAACTGCTTCTAAGAATAAATAAATTAAAGCACCATAAGTACTTTTGCACTTTCATCCAAACACTCCAACTTCAGGTTCTGCTCCCTGAAGGAACAGAAACAGTTTTAAGAATAAGATTCAAACACCCTATTACATCATTCATAAATCTAAAATCTTATAATTCCACGTGTGAAAAGTTGGTATACCGTGGGAGCAGCCCATGGTGAGAATGGTGCTCCCACAACTAATTCGCACGTGAACAATAACAAGCATGAACAATAACCTTTTTTTTTGTTCCCGGTAGCAGGGTGGTGTAACTTATGTGTAATAAATTGTAACTCACGTTGATATGCAATGTAACTGCAGGTACGTCGAAATGTAACTTATCTCATACGGAGTAGAAGAAATAAATCATTGATTTCAATGTAAACAATGAAAAAGTAGTCTAATTGTTCATTACCTTACTTAAATAGTGAAAATGTTTTGTTTTTAATATTAAGGCCATAAAAATATTTTTTAAATATCTTTTTTTTTTCAAAAAAAAAATCTTTTTTGGAGAAAATGGTTTGGTTTAATTATTTTGGTATGTAACTAAGGTTATGGAAAATGTAACTCGTGTTGATGAAAAAATCTAATTTAGGTATATAAACAATGTAACTTGTTGATACAAATCTAAATGTAACTCGCGCATAAGAAGATGTAACTCAGGCATAAAAATATGTAACTCGTTCATAATAAGATGTAACTTTATATATATTATCAAATGTAAATGATGAATATCAAGGAGCCTAATTGCTCAATTACCTTACATAAATAGTGAATATGTTTTGTTTTTAATATTTAAGTCCATAAAAAATGTTTCTTGAGAAATCTTTTTTTTCCAATACTTTGTTTGGGGGTGGGGTGGGGGGTTGCCATAAAATCATTTTTATGCAAATAAATGATTTTTGTTTCAATAACATAGGTTTATTTTGTGATGTTACTTGTATTATGGAAAATGTAACTCGCGTTGATAGAAAATTTATCTTAGGTGTATGCAAAATGTAACTTGTTGATGCAAGTTTAAATGTAACTAGCACGTATGAAGATGCAAATAACTCATAAAAAGATGTAACTCGCATACAAGAAGATGTAACTTCATATATTATCAAATGTAACTTCATAAATTATCAATAAATATATCTCACACATGTATGTGTGTGTGTGTATATATATATATATATATATATCACACATAAAAATGTAATATCATATTTTATAAATGTAAATCAAAATAACCAAATTTAATGTCTAAAACACTAAAAACACATGAGAGAGATAATTATAAATATGTTATATGAAAAAGTGTGAATATGAAAAAATATATTACAAATAAGTGTATAAATATAAAAAAATATTTATTTTGAAAAAAATTGTTAATTTTTTGTTGTAATTTTAGTTGAATAAAGGAAAAGAAAATGTGTATCAATAAGAACTAAGAGAGAGAGAAAAAGTAATTAATTGATTTGAAGGGATGAAAAAATTGATCACAAAATTCTAATAACCATTATAGCTTAGTGTTCTTAAGTTAAAAAGTTAGCATGATAGGTTGTGATGATGAAAAAATTAAACGTGAAAAGGGAAAAGAAATGAAACGTGCAATGAGTGGGGAGTGGGAGTGGGAGTGCGCAACTGGAGAATGCATGTGAGTGAGGCGACCATCGAGCAAGAAGTCATGTATTTTCCGTTTGTTATAAAAACGGTACCATATTTGGGATCGGTATACCATACACATGGTATACCGATCCCAAGGTATAATTTGCCATATAAATGGGAGAACTTTATTTTGAAAGATAGGGAGTGGTAGGACGGATAATAGAGTATGAAAAAGGAAGAGCTATCTATAGGTAGGAATGGAATGACTTTGGTCACAGCTGGCCGGGCGTCCGCCTTGTTCCTTTC